GTCCTTTCCCCAATCCCCTTTTCGGCCTTGTGCCACATTTCTGTATTGTACAGAATAAATATCACTTTCCTCTATGGTATCTGGACTCTATGTATTTAAGCACAGTACTCGATTGGCAGCAAAGCCTCATCATTTTACATTTGAAATAACTAGATGTAACCCTAAGTTCTATGCTAATAGTTTCTTCTATTGCACTTCACACTTGTGAAACTCTATTCCGGCTTCTTGTTTCCCAATCAACTATGATGTTCAAAAATTTAAATGCAATATCAATCATTATCTTCTGTCTTAACTCTTGTTCTTTTATTCTTCTCTCTCTTTAATAGTTTTTTTTTTTGTCATATATTCTTTAACACTCAATAATCCACCATTTTTAATGGCTTTATTGCCTTGCTTAGGGTGAAATGATTAAAAAAAGGAAAAAAATCTCCTCACAGGTCAGGGCATTAACAAGAACATGTGAACTTCCACTGTATCCTTTTATCAAGGAAAGTTTTTAACTTTATCAATTCATGATCTAGCTTAATTCCAACATATTTCACATGAAGAAGGCCAGATTGTACAATGGCCAAAACATTGTACAATGATTGTACAATGGCCAAAACATTGTACAATGATTGTACAATGGCCAAAACATTGTACAATGATTGTACAATGGCCAAAACATTGTGAATATGACAATAAAGATGATGACAACAGTCTGAACAATGTAAATAATATAAATAGCTTAAATTTTATTAGGCACTCAAAAGAATATTTTCTTTTCCATAAATTTATTGTAAATACAATTGGTAATTGTTCAAATGAACTCTTCGCTATGGTAACCTAGATCTTATGAATTTAAGCACAGTACTAAACTAGCATCGAGATCTGATCAATTTACAGCCGAGCTGGCTAGATGTAGCCTTAAGTTCTATGCTAACAGTTTCTTCTCTCGCACTTCTCATTTGTGGCTCCATAATTTACAGCCAACTTTAATTTGCAAAAATTTAAATACAATGTCAACAGCTATCTACTATCCCCCTGATTACTCTTTTCTCTTTCTGCTCATCATTAATGTTTCTGTTCCTAATTCTTCCCAATCCTGTATCCCACTGTGTCTTAGTGGCATTATTGCCTTGCTGTCGTACCCAATAAAATCAACTGTACCAAAATTTGAGAAAAGAAAAGCATGTAATTAAAGAGTTACAGTTTCTTTTCTTGCACTTCGTACTTGTGGAGTTCTCTTCTGTCTTAACTTTGCATTGACATTTTTGAAGATCAATGTCATTCATTATCTTCTGTCTTCTTAATTCTTGTGTTTTTATTATTCTCTCTCTCTCTCCTTAATAGTGTCTAGGCAGAAGATTTTCTTGTAGTAGGTTGCCATTTCTTTCTGCAATAGACTGGTTACCAACCAAGGCTATATGACCCAGTCTGTCCTGCTATTCAACCCATAGCTGAAGGGAGTAGGGATAGATTCATACTTTTCCCAATTCTTAGCATCTGTCTTCTTAATTCCTGTTACTTTATTGTTCTCTTGCCTTAATAGTATTTTTTCTCATATTCTCTACCACTCAGTAACCCCTTTTATCTTAGAGGCTTTATTGCCTTGCTTGGGGTGAAATGATTAAAAAAAATATATTATTTTATTCTGTACTAGCCAAGGGACCCCGCATTGTCCAGGTGTACACGGCTGCAATTGTATACCTGCACCCCCTTGTCTAGAAATAACTGTCTGCATCCCCACTTGGTTACATCATCTGTTGGTATACTAAACTATTCCTGCCCATCATCTTTTTTCCAGTATGTCCTTCACAAGTGTTTGATTGTTCTTAATAAAGGAATTCCATCAATAAAAACTTCTTGTGTGGTTGTTGGTCAGGGTTAAATTGTTTCAGTATTTTAGATATTCAGTAAATTTCCTGTGGCCGTAATAACTTTCAAATAGTATGGCATTGTTCACAAATCTAATAATCAAATAAAAATAGGGATGAAGTATCAGAGCTTGATTCAACTGCAAGTGCAAATGCATGAATATCCCCACCTCCTTCTTCGCACATTTACTGTAAAGCTGGGATTAATAAGAGGTTCTTTGGGGATTTTTCCCTTTTAATGCTTCAGTAATCCTACTCAAACAACCTTTGCTTCAAAGGTTGTTCAAATGCCATTTTAGGATGGAATCATATAAAGAAACTATTGGCTAAATGGCAAAACCAATTTTGGACCTAGTTTATTGCAGATTTCATCCACTGAAATGGAAATAATCTAAACCAAACATTCACACAAGACAATTTGTATGTCATATGTAATTTACATAGCAAATTTGTAAAGCATTGGATGAAAAACCAGGCAGTTATGGCCAAAAAAACAGCCTTTTTTAACAGTTTTTTATGGTTTTTCATTATACGTGGGGAAGCAAGCAGAACTAAAACCATACTCTTATTTCTTGTATGATGGCAAATTTTTTGCAACATGTTTGAAGAAAATCGGTTAAAGAATGAGGAAGTTACTCAAGTTTTGATTTTAAGTAGTATGAAAAACTCAACCTTTTCAGTTTTTTGCAATTTTTTGTGTGAAGCCAATGTCAAGCAGTTGTAACAATAGCTATGTTTTACATTAAATGCAGAGAACATCAGCTCATCCAGTAAAAATTTTGTTTGCATGTAACATTGCCTTGGTTTTTGCAAAAAGTCGTACCCACCTTCAGTTTTATCAATTTTTCTGCCAAAACCAGGGGTCCTGGGAATTGAAAAGTTGGCCTTGACCTAGCTTGATAAATTTGCAATATGTGTGCACAATTTCATTGAAATCAGTTGAGAAATATGGATGTGTATAAATAGCATACATACACACACATCTTGTTTTATAGATATAAATTCAAGAAGTCTGTCAATTTCACTAGTGTTTTTCTTTTATTTTACAATAATGTTTATGCTGTACAAGGCCCGAGAGCCACACAAGGTAGAGGGTTGCAGAGTAAGAAGCACAGTTTATGTAGATATACAAGAAATGATAATGGTTAACACTAGACTTGAACAGGTTAAGATGGGAAAGAAGCTCAAATGTAACTTACATCTCACAATTGGAATGTGAAGGGAATAAAGGTGCATACAATCATACAATGTGCATAGCAGGGCAGATGAATACAATGTGCATAGCAGGACAGATCTTAGCCATAGAGGTTAGAACTGGTGGAATCAAGGAATGTAGTTTGTCTGAACACTTAACTATGGAAAGAGCAGTGAGAGGTTTGCAATTATTCATTTGTGGGAAAGTGGTTGTAAGGGAGAAAATAGTTCATCACCCACAGGTGTAGTGAGTACTAATAAAAATAAAATTTATAAACAAAAGTAAAAAGAATTCCAATTAAAATAAGGCATTGCACTTTCCTTTAAAACTATTATTGCTTTCTTTCTCTCTTTCTAAATTCTCTTTCTATACTTCTCTCAACTAACGAGAAGGCAAGCCTCAAATAAAATAAGAAAGAAGAAAAAACTGAAACTGGCCAAAAATTGCCAGAAGTTTGCAGGAATAGAGCCTACTAATTTATAACTGAAATCTAACAAAAAATCAGGGAGGATCCACTCATAACTTCTGTTATAAAAAAAAAAATGAAAAAGAAAAGAACACCAAAAAATAAAATAATTTTGACCAATCAAAAAAATTGACACAGAATTTTGATGTTAGCTGAAACCAGAGTTCCTGTCAGAAACTCAGGACCTGGTCAAAAGTATAAGCAGACACCTCTGAGCTAGAAGGAGGACAAAAAGAGAGGAGGGAACAAGAAAGCACTACTGCAGATAAAGCAGCCATGCATAACACATTAAGAAGTAGTTAAGAGGTCATCTGCTACTGATATTTATGCTCTGACACTGACCTATTTTTAATATTAGTACTACTCCTATCATGGTCTGACTTCAAAACTACCACTATAGTAGCTGAATCAGACATTTCTCCAGACTGCTACCAATATCCATCTTATAAACAAACATTTTGCTATACTAAATACCAAAGAGCTCACTCATCACTCTAAAGAAAATAAATAAAAATATATTATTTACCTTATACACCTTGCTCCAATTTGTTTTATCCCAAAGTTTCCAGTAAAAAAAGAAACTCTTACCACCTAACCATACTGATGACCTCCCAACATGAATACACATATCCACAAATTATATGTCATTTACTCAAGTTAAATTTCTTTTGATTACAACTTTTATCCTTTTTTTTTGTTACTGCACAAAGAAATATTTTATATCTATTGAATATTGATCCATTTCAAAACCTTCATTTAAAACATCAAATATCAATTAGATAACAACTTTATTATAAGAAAACATAAGAAAACATGTTGACTTATTTGCTAATAATATTTAGCCTAATATTCTTTTTGAGATTTTTATTTGAAAATGATCAACTACCATCATTGATTTCCAATAGTGTCTCAGTAAATTTAGAAAGGGATGGTAATAGTAATATTAGCCGTTTCCTTATAAGGAAATATTTGGCATTCATTGACCAAGCAGTTGGTTAATATTTATAAAATCTCTCTTGGAACATTTTTTAGGAAAATTAGGTTTCTCAAGTAGATCTGTATTGGAAAATCTTCTCCAAATTGAAAAAGACAAGTAACCTGTGAAAAATGAAGATTTCCTTTCTTGTTCACCCACAGGACTGGGTTACCCCCCACATATCTTTGTTAGTTTCAACAAGAAGTCATTAGAGGGCTACTGTAACAGAGCCTTCATCAATTTCATTAACTAACTACATCTCATTTCATGAAGGCGTTGAGCCCACAAGAGCCACCTGGTCCCTTCAGCTCCTACAGTCTTGGCAGAGCATCAGAACATCCTCCAGTAACAGATTAATCTCCTGGAGATCCTGGCAGATGATGTCGTTCCAGTGACTGCATAGTTTGCTGCAATCTCCTGTTTGCAGATGTTGGGTTGAACTGGTAGATGACTTTGATAAGTGTGGACATCAGGTCGTCACAAGATGGAATCAAGCCAGTGAACCCATCACTGAATGATGGCATGGAAGATCTTTGGCTGTTTGGACCAGTCTGTATTCAGGGAAATCCTGAACAATGTGACAGAAAAAAAAGATGAAAAGAAAAATGTGTTGAACAAAAATTTTTTAAATGTCATTTTATTTAAAAAAAATATTTAAAAAAAATAAAATTATTCAGACCCACAAAAAAAAAATAATAGGAATTAATTTAACTCCTATCAATTAGATTTCAAATTTGCTAAAGCTCAATGTTTAAATTTACACAATTTCAATGAAATACTTAATTTGTGAATTATAAACACATATTTGTGAATATAAAAAAATGACTGACTATAAGGAAAGATAATAAGTTTATTTAAATGTTGACGAATTTGAGGTTGTAATATATGTCTACCTCTTGCAATTCAACTGATAATATTAAAATAAAAGTAAAATAGGGGACACCCGGGATTGAACCGGGGACCTCTCGATCTGCAGTCGAATGCTCTACCACTGAGCTATATCCCCACACAATGCGAGTTTTTGCTATTTAGCTTTTATATAATTTAACTCATTGTAATTTTGAATTCTTGTTTTTATCTTATTCTGAAATTTTGAAGTTTTTAGAAGTTTTTTTTATATAAAATCTAATTCTCGAAATAAATAAATTGTGAATGTTTTCAACATTAAATACTACGCAATGATCATTCGTAGCCATTAATTAAAATTATTCATATAGTCACGTCAGTGTGTTTTTGCTTAAAGAAAAAGAACGTGTAGTAATGATTAATCTTTACAAGTGACTTTTTTTAATTCTAATTAAAATGAACAATATTGGATGTTTTCGTTTAACAATCGAATATTTTAAGAGGTTTGCGTTTGATAAATTATTTTTACTTTCTAAGATAGAATCCGTCTTTGTCAAAATAGTTACATAGACGACGGCGACGCCCTTTTTTTTTCTTCGTAATGACTAATGTGATCTTTTATTAAAATCGTCGAAAATTGTTACGACTTTTAAAAATTACCTGTGATACAAATAATAAAAATTACATTTGCTTTTATGCTACAGTTGAAATTTTTTTTAATTATATTTTTATGTTTTTTCATATCAGAAAATAAAAGGAGCCAGAATGACCAGATATTTTAAAAAATACTTTATAAAAAAAAAATCAGTTTCATTATCATTCAATGCAGTTTTTGTCTAGCAAAATAAAAATTTAAATTAAAGTTTTTTTATTTATTAAAAATGACACTTATTTCTGCAAAAATAGATTAACAAAAATTAAAAAAACGAATGATTAAAAAAATTATAAATTTTTGTATCTATCTTTTTAAACCGGACAATAACATGATTTAAAAATAAGTTCAAGCGAGAAAAAAATTTGAATGATATAAAAAAAAAAAAAATCTCTATCCGACCACAGTCACCACACCGTAGAGATTGGTAAATTTGCTTTTTAACGCCCGCGCTAAATATCTCTTAAAATTTTCCCAAACCGTGCATAATTTCGTGTAAATGTACATGCTGAACTCGAATTAACAATTAAATTATGAAGAAACCTACAGTTTGGGAGTTATCAACAAGAAAAAATCGGACTTCTTGTTGCTCATTCGTCTACCATTACTGCCATACTGTTTAGTAATTTACTGCGGGATACTTTGACCAATTTACTTCTTTTACAGACTTTCGGTGCAAAAAATCATTACGCACTACCGTAAAGTTTTGTTTTTTTTTTTTTGATAAATGTAGTTTTATTTATAACATAAAACTTTAAACAAATTCAGTAACACAATAATTTTTTTTTCTGTGTAGAATAGCAATGACAAATTAAAAGAACAAATTGAATAATAAAAATAAAGCATTTTTTATATTTTAAAATTGAAAATAAAACAAAAATTAATGCACAAACTTGGTAAAGTAAAGTTGAAGGGTTGATTGTTTTATTTAATTTTTTTTTTTAAATTTGTCCCCTTTTCTACACAGAAAAAAGCCAAATACAACACCTAACCCTAACACTAAACTTTATTTAATTTGTTCTTTTAATTTGTCATTGCTTTACGGTAGTGCATAGTGTTTTTTTGTGTTTTTTTGCACCGAAAGTCTGTGTAAAAGAAGTAAATTGGCCAAAGTATCCCGCAGTAAATTACTAAACAGTACGGCAGTAATGGCAGACGAATGACCAACAAGAAGTCCGGTAAATGTACATGCTGAACTAGAATTAACAATTATGAAGAAACCTACCGTTTTGGAGTTATCGACAAGAAAAAATCGGACTTCTTGTTGGCCATTCGTCCCCCATTACTGCCATAATGTTTACTGATTCACTGCGTAGTACTTCCGCTGGCGGAAACAAAATTTTGGCCTATTTACTTCTTTTACAGACTTTCATTTTTGGATGTTAACGACCAGAAAAAATCGGACTTCTTCTCGGTCTTTCGTCAGCCATTACTGGCTTATTGATAAGTAATTCACTGCGGAAAGATTTTTGGCTGAGTCATAAAATTTGGGCCTATTTACTTCCTTTACAGAAATTCCTTGCAGAAATCACTACGCACTTCCGTAAAGTGATTTTTTTTTTGTACTTAATTTAAGATGAAAGTTAACTTTCAAATATAGGTAAACATCAACAAATAAAAGAATAACAAAGTAATTTTTTTTTTAAGAAGAAAGTTAACTTTCAAATATATGAAAATATCGACAAATAAAAGAATAACAAAGTAATTTTTTTTTAAAGAAGAACGTTCACTTTCAAATGTATGAAAATATCGACAAATAAAAGAATAACAAAGTAAGTAGTTACAGTAAAGCATTTTTTTTAATATATAAAATTGAAAATAAAACAGTAATTAATTCAATTGTAAAAGAGGACGTTAAAAGTTTCATATCTATGGAAAAAATGACATTGACAATTTTAGAAAAATGCTATAAAGGAGATACTTTACTTACAAATGAAAATTATAGATGTCTATAATGAAGTAGTTTTAGGGTCCTGGATACAATCTGCTCGCCTCTCTCAGGAAAACGTGAAGACGCTGACTATGTTTAGGGTTTGTTTTTAAAAACAGAAAACAAGCAATATATTGTTTTAAATAAGCAGTTCTATGTCCCAATCTTTTAACTATAACCTTAGTTGTCCTCCACATTCTTTCAATTGTTTACGTCTGGATATTTTGGTCTGTTGGATCTACAAAATGTTCACTATGATTTATCTGCGTGTGCGTGTATCCGTGTTCCGGTATCCACACATACGCCAACCTGTAACAGAGAGAGGTTGACGCACATGAATGCACACACGCAAATATAATGTTTATTGATTGAAGATGGAAAACACGATCTTCCATGAAAGTTACAAACTGTGTCAGCGCTATTAATAGGAAAGAATCTAGAACAATGATATATGAAACCTGAGACGGCTGATGGATAAGGATTAAATTTCAAATCAGGTTGGCGAGGACTTGTTTATAAACAAATGCAAAAGAGCAGGAGGCAATGTTTAATTTGGGTCATTAAAAAAAAAATAGACAAAAATAATATTTTATAGGTAGGTAAGATCAGTGTATGTTTACCGCTGGCAAAATCTGATCTAAACATAAGTTGTATCTGCTGAATTTAGTCATCGAAAAGACAAGTGAAATGAACATTGAACTAATTAATTTTATCCACTAAGAGATTTGAAATAGATCTGAATTTAAACTTTGCTTATGGCAACACTCATGTTAAGCGTGTGAACAACCTGGCTTATAACCTTCGGTTTGCTATATAAACACAAGTTTTGCTGAGTTGGGGAGACTTGGGTGTTAGACGAGAGTGACGTTGAGAGAGAGAGACTGTCGTTGCAGTGAGTCAGTCCAGTGGTGAGTCAGAGATAAGGACTTCAAGAAATATCATCGTTGTAGCAGTCGCATTGAAAAGTCGCTGAAACTTAACGTTTGTCACTTATGACAACCAACTGAAAAGCTACACTTCCACGTAGGGCTGGAATTATGAGTCACATATCCTCCCAAGTTGATTTGGAATGAGTTAATCACCCACACACCTTTCTCTATTGGTATAATTGGTAGAGGAGTGGTCCTCTGTTCTTATGTTAATTGCTTTTCTATCCTTTTTGTAAACTCTTTCTACTGTTGTTGTTTTCTTCAATATTTTACCCATTGTTGTTCGGCTTCTGCAGATATTATTTCCTTGTTTGCCACATTCTAATTTTCCTGCCGCCCACCCTCACAGCCGTGCCTACATCTCCAATTGACCGTAAACGTATGGACAATACCCCACTTACTGGATCTAAAAACTAACACGTGGGCAGCAGGCGGAACTTGGCCAGTGACCGGTCGAACAATCTATGGGTACTCAGGGATCATGCGGCCAGCTACCCCTGAGTTCGGTTCAGACCGAGTGGGCGCCTCAACCCAAAGAGGAAGACGTCGGAGGTTAAGGGGCTGAAGGGATGAGTGGTAGAGACCAGCAATCACTGTAAATGATTGATCCTGGTGGGATGTATCGCATAATCAAAGGGACAAGTGTATGGGCATTCCTGGATTTGCCTTCTCCGCAATCAGACATAAGTGGTACCAGAAACGTCTTCTTCGAGACTCTTTCAATTCTGCCAAATAGCCAGACCATTTTCAATCAACATCCCCGGTTATATTTTCGTTTTTGAGATAACTGTTTCGTCGATTTCTACCTCGACACCGGATCCACCCAACTTCTGCACATTTTCTAGCCAAAATTGGCCCACCTCAATGCAGAAGGAGCGCCATTTCACTGAAGTGACTTTCGCAATGTCCAAGTTTTCGAACATTATCCTGTGGTACCAAATAAGATCAAGGAAATGTATTACAAAAAGTAGCACTTTCCACGCAGGCAAGCGTGACTTCTCCAAAAGTGTATTTTTCCTATCACCAACACTGAAGCCACAGTCTGTTTTCCAGCTGTTAGGACGATTCGAACTGCTAGGACTGGAGACAGGTTTTCTGCAACGCCATACTTTCAGGATGGCTCGCAATGAGCAAGGTAAATGGCATCAAGGGCATTCCACAGAAAACGGTAATATTCTGTGTAGTCGAAGAAATTCTACTGAAGCCTCTTCATTCATTCGAAAGTGTTGAATTGCTTTGTACATAGTGACTGAAACAATTGTATAAAGAGTCGCAATTTGTGGTCCCCAGTCATGATACAGACATCTGTCAGCAGGGTTGATGCCAGTTTATTTGCTCATCCGAATACTATTCACATCCTCATCTACACTACACGCTACTGCAGAAGTGTCAAATTGCACAAATTGTTCCATCACTATGTACGAAGCAATTCAACGCTTTCGAATGAAGACTATTTTGGTAAAATTTGAAGGGATATTAGCGCTCGGGAAACAAAATGAAAATTTACCCTATATATATATGGAATAATAATAAATGATACATAAATTTTTATTATATATCAAGAACAATTTTTGGGTAAAAAGATGTATTACAACATGGAAAAAGTTTTTGTGTAATGTATTTTTCATCCTTTATCACTTCATTGGACCAAATTTATGAAATTGGCTATAATTCTATAAAAAAAAAAAAAAGAAAAGAAAAATCATCTTTATTTCTCATTCGTGTGTATGTCTAGTTGCATCAAGATAAACATAAACTTAGTCCGATTCAGTCCTAAACGACAAAACGCATCCCACAAAAACTTTTACCATTTTGCCATGATATCCATATGTGTGTGTGTTTATGCAGGTAGCCAAGCAGTTTCAAACTTGTAAATAACAATTAAATCCAATAACTCTGTAAAAAGCCACAGATCATTTTTATACTGTATCAATATTATGAACAGGACCAACCTTCTCTAAATCAATGAAAACTTTTTAATAAAAAAAAGTTTTTAAAATTTGTCAATATATAAGTCAATTTTTTTTTATTCTAACAAATGTTGAATGCTAATAGAACTGTGAAGCAAGTATACATCCCCAAAAGGAGAATACTACCTGTAAAAAATAACAGTTTTATGTTTGCACTTCTGCCTGGGATCAATGTGTAGTATCTGCATGCTCTGTGAATAGTATTATAAAATTTATGGCTATGTTTAACCTTTGTGCCTGTAAAAAATGGTGTGTCAAAAGAATGGTTATTCCTTTGATATCACTATTATTACTGTATACACTTTTAACTGCCTCAGGAATGTTTATTATTTTAAAAAGTGATGATTAAATATTTAATAAAACCCAAACCTATAAAAGTGGATTCATACATTTTATTTATTCTTGAGAATGACAACAAAGATGTCAAACACTATTTATTTATTAGATTACTTATATATATTACTTGTATTTTGTTTGGGCACAGGACTGTTCATTTGTATGTATGCATTTAATTGCCTTTTTTCCTTGATTTATTCATAGCTGAATATATGTTTTTCAATTATGCCCTTTTTAACTTTTTTCTATTAAATCCTCTTTTTATCTATATATCTTTGTCCATGTATGTAAATTTTTGATAGTTGGTTTATATCTGCTTATTGATACTTTTAAATCCTAGTGAGTCTGTTTATTTGTATATGTGTGTGTGATTGTATATGCTTTCAACTATATGTATGTGTCTTATTTTTTTCTTTGGCATGTGTCACTCTTTTTCCTGTGTTGTTCATGTTTTTGTGTGTTTATATATTTAAATATATTTACGTGTTGGTGTATTAGGATATGATTGTGTCTGCCTTGTCATTCATAAGACTTCCTCCCTTTCCTCTGTCATCTGAATTCAAATCCCCTCAATTGTATCTAAGTTGTTAATGATATTTGAACACCTTTATTAGTGTTGATTTTAACTGAAAATTGGGCTTTTTGATGAAAATAAATAAATAAAAAACAAAATATATATATATACTTTCCTCTGTTCCTTCTTTGAATAATTATATATTTTAAACTTAATGTAGGGTAAATTTAAAATTTAAATTTGTAATTTTTATTTTTTTATTGCGAAATTACAAATTAGTTATAATGATTTCTAATTTAGTGTAACATTTACATTAAGGCATTAATTATTTCTAGGATTCATTGTCAAGCTTTTTGAATTATCATATACTTGTATTTTAATTGGTGCTTATGTAACAATTTTTCCCCTATTGAGGAGTTTGGTTGGTTTTGAACTTTTTAAAAAATTCTTTATTCTGCAATCAAAACCATCACTTGACAAGACATCAGAACTGTTGAAACAAGATGGCTATTTTTGTAGTGATGTTATAACATGCTTATGTTATTATTTTTGAATAAATACTATATATATATATATATTATAGATTAAAACAGAAACAGGTTAAAAATCACTACACAATAGCAATCGTGTTTCAACACTACAAATGTATCTCCGCATGCAATGGTAAATTATAGGCGAGTGAACGATTAATTTACTTTCAAAAGCAGAATACTTCCTTCTTTTTTCAAAAAAAAAGAAAACAGAATTAAATTAATTGCCAGTAATTTACCATCACCTCCATGGAGACACATTGGTAGTGTTGAAACACAATTGCCATTGTGTAGCAATTTTTAACATGTTTTGTTTTAATCTGCTATAATAAATAATATTTAGCTCTACTCTATATTGAGCCCTCTTTTAAATTAAATGTTACAGACAGTGGAATTATACTTCATTTGTTCTCATTTTACCTGGATACATATTAGGTTGGTGCATAATTATGTAGCATTTTTTTTTAACCATATTTACTTTGAAAAAGGAAACATAACAATTCAACATTAATATTTTAAAATAATTATTCTGGAGCATATGATTATTGCATGCATTTTTATAACCTGAAAATAATATTTTTATTCAAAAAAGGAAACAAAACAGCAACTTTTATTAACAAATAACTCACCTACAACACATGCATGCAAATCTATAGAAAAATAGGAAAGAACATGTTAGGTAAATAATCTGAAATTCTTATACAATTATATAATTGAAAATGACAGACAAGGAAAATTGA